TTTGGGCTTGAACGTGGAGCTCGAAGAGACCAAGTGGTTCGTTATTTCCAGCAGATGATAGAAGGAATGTGGTCAATCCCTATAAACTTGCCTTTTACGCGCTTCAATCGCAGCATCAAGGCAAGCAAAGATGTCCAGAAAATGTTGAAACAACTTATTTCAGAGAAACGACATGAGTTTGACAACAACTTAGCTTCATCCCACCAGGACCTCATCACCTGCTTGCTCAGCATCCGTGGAGAGAACAAACAAGAACTCATGTCTGAAAATGAAATCATTCACAATGTCATGCTCATCATGGTAGCTGGATATGCCACTTCATCCGTCTTGATAACTTTCATGGTTAGACTTTTAGCAAAGAATCCAAACATTCATGCAGCTGTCCTTAAAGGTAAGAACCCCTCTGAATTTCATTCAGACTCGAGTTACTCTATCTTTCAGGTTTCTTCTGAATAAGTTGTGGGAATGCAGAACAGGAAGAGATTGCACAGAGCAAGTCACCAGGAGAGTCACTAACTTGGGAAGACCTTGGCAATATGAAATACACCTGGAGAGTGGCCATGGAGACAATGAGAATGTTCCCTCCCATTTTCGGAGGCTTCAGGCAGACTGTAAAAGACATTGAGTATGGAGGCTACCTCATTCCAAAAGGATGGCAAGTAAGATAAAAATTCCCATCTTTGATTTTTCCAGTCTTCAACCTGTTAATTTTGGTAGTACTCCGGCTTTTCTGATTGGCGTAATCCAAATTTAACCACTGCTTAATGGCTGCACATAGATATTCTTGGTAACGGCTAAAACACACATGAATAGCAGCATTTTCCAAGAACCAGAGAAATTTGATCCAGCACGCTTTGAGAACACAGCATCTTTGCCTCCTTACAACTTTGTTCCATTTGGAGGGGGAGCCCGTATATGTCCTGGATACAAGTTTGCAAAGATTGAAACTTTGGTCACAATCCATTACCTCGTAACACATTTCACATGGAAGCTATGCTGTACAGACGATTTCTTCAGCAGGGACCCAACGCCAGTACCAACTCAAGGGCTTCCCATTCAAATAATTCCCAGGAAACCTCTCTAGTTCAACAAATCCAATCCTACATTCTTCTCCAAGAGGAAGCAGACTTAGTAAACCTTAAGGCTCCTAAGGGAATATTATGCAAGAATGAAGAAGTCAAGCTTGGCTAAGTCGTAAGCGGGGTTTGTGTGGTTGTACCTAGACGTTAAAGTATCTGGAGTAATATTAAGTTGAAGGGTATTATATCACTCAACTTAATGTTTTTCTTTGTCTTTCAACTATCAAAAGTCTTTGTATTTGTTTATCTTTTTTAATAACCGTGGTATTTAAGCCAGCTTGCACACATCAACTAATGAAAAGTCTTTGTATCTGTTTGTTTTTTTATAATCGTAATATCACAACCAATTTATGGACATCTCGACTATCAAAGTCTTTGTATCTGTTTGTCGTTTTATAACCATGATTTTCGAGTCAGCTTGTGCACCTCAACTAACAAAAAGTCTTTGTATCTGTTATGTGAGGTTGATGGTATATTTATTCTCTCTCTTTTCTGAAGTGCATTCAAGACTGGATAACCTGTACAAAATTGCTACAGTCACCTAAGACTGAGTAGTACCAATTGATTGTTTATTTGGGATTCAAATTCCATACTGTATGTATTGTATTGAGTAGATGCGAATTCTTATGAATTGTTGTATACAGCCGGCTGAAAATGTACTTGTTTATTAATTTCATTGAATACAATGGGATTGCTTTCATGAGTTTGAATTTTAGTTTTGTGATTTACTTGACTTTGCTTTCATGGTGTATCAATCTAACAAAACAACTATTGGATAATCATTTTTTTCCAAAAAAAAAAGAAAAGATAATGTTTGAATATCTACTACCTTCCACCAGCATAAGTACCGGACAAAGTACCTTATGCTGTATCAATCTGTCAAATAAATTGTCAGATGTAAAGATCATCACATGATTGATTTGGACTCTGCAGTCTGCACTACTTGTTTTTAAGAAAAAACAAAGCATAAGAGTCCTGTTAACCAACACTGTTCTTTTTGGACATGTTGATAGAGTTATATACCACAATCACTGGAAAGTATAGTTTGGTATATCTAGATGTGGCATATACCACAATTATTGGAAAGTATAGTTTGGTATATCTAGATATGGCATATACCACAATTACTGGAAAGTATAGTTTGGTATATCTAGATGTGGCATATTATTGTTACAGGATACCATAATGGAACTGAGATGCTTTTCCAGAAACAAACAAAGTTAACAGCACAAGAAGATTATATAAATTACTTCTACTTCCTAAGCTCACTACCTTTGTACCTTCAATCATGAACATTATAGCAACTATTTTCCTATTTCTACTCCCGGTATTCCTCCTCCTTGTTCGGAGGAGGAGATCATTGAAGAGGGTTCCACCAGGATCCCTTGGAATTCCAATCATCGGTCAAAGTCTTGGAATGCTAAGGGCAATGAAAGCCAACACGGCAGAGAAATGGCTTGAAGAAAGAGTACAAAGATATGGTCCTATCTCAAAGCTAAGCCTCTTTGGCAAGCCCACTGTATTCATTTATGGACAGGCTGCTAACAAGTTTGTATTTACCAGTGATTACTCTGTTCTCACTAATCAGCAGCCACAATCAGTCAAGATGATTCTGGGAAATCGTTGCCTTTTGGAACTCAATGGTGAAGATCATAAACGGGTTAGAGATGCCCTGGTATCATTCTTGAAGCCAGATTGTCTTAAGCGTTATGTTGGAAAGATGGAAGAAGAAGTCAGAATCCACCTCGAGACTTACTGGAAAGACAAGCAAATAATTAAGGTATGTCATCCCCCCTACTATTCTTGCATGTAACCTAAGACATTTACAGCTAACTTTTGTGTTAATGATAGGCATTACCTTTGATGAAGACACTCACCTTCAACATTATTTGCTCTCTCCTTTTCGGGCTTGAGCGTGGATCTCAAAGAGACCAAATGGTTCATTATTTCCAGCATATGATAGAAGGGGTGTGGTCAATCCCTATAAACTTGCCTTTTACGCGTTTCAATCGAAGCCTCAAGGCAAGCAAAGATATCCAGAAAATGCTGAAACAACTTATTTCTGAGAAACGCCATGAGTTTGACAACAACTTAGCTTCATCCCACCAGGATCTCATCACCTGTTTGCTCAGCATCCGTGGAGAGAACAACCAAGAACTCATATCTGAAACTGAGATCATTCACAATGTCATGCTCATAATGGTTGCTGGATATGACACTTCATCCGTCTTGATAACTTTCATCGTAAGACTTTTAGCAAAGAATCCAAACATCTATGCAGCTGTCCTTAAAGGTAAGAACTCTTCTGAATTTCATTCAAACTCCAGTCACACTATCTTTTGGGTTTCTTCTAAATAAGCTTGTGGGAATGCAGAACAAGAAGAGATAGCACAGATCAAGTCACCTGGAGAGTCCCTAACTTGGGAAGACCTTGGCAAGATGAAATACACCTGGAGAGTGGCAATGGAAACAATGAGAATGTTCCCACCCATTTTCGGAAACTTCAGGCAGACTGTAAAAGACATTGAGTACGGTGGCTACCTCATTCCGAAAGGATGGCAAGTAAGATCAAAATCCCCATCTTTGATCTTCCATTCTTCAATCTGTTAATTCGGTAGTACTCAGTATATTTCTTATTGGCATAACCCAAATTTAACCACTGCTTAATGGCTGCACATAGATATTCTGGGTAATGGCTAAAACACACATGGATAGCAGCATTTTCCAAGAACCAGAGAAATTTGATCCAGCACGTTTTGAGAATTCAGCATCTTTGCCTCCTTACAACTTTGTTCCATTCGGAGGGGGAGCCCGCATATGTCCTGGATACGAGTTTGCGAAGATTGAAACCTTGGTCACAATCCATTACCTAGTAACACATTTCACATGGAAGCTATGCTGTACAGATGATTTCTTCAGCAGGGACCCAATGCCGGTACCAACTCAAGGACTTCCCATCCAAATAGTTCCCACGAAACCTCTATGATTCAATAAATTCAATCATACAATCATACATGCTTATTCAACAGGAAGCGAGTTTTGTAAACCTCAAGACTCCATATTATGATATATTTCTGTTAAAAGGACACTAAAACTAGACTGGATTTGGCATCAAATTTGCGATCTCCTAAGGGGAATACTCCCTATATTATGTTGTATTCATGTCAAAAGATGTACACTTTACGGCCTCACAATCCAGCCACAATTATTGAAACTTTATATTTGAAAGTTAAAGGGCTAAAAATTAGATATGAGAAATTGGAACTTCAACATGCATAAGCACAATTCTTCTTTTCTCTAGATTTAGCTAATTACAGCTCAAAGTTATACATACAACTTCTTTTTTTTTTTTTTTGATGAAGCTTAAAGTTATACAACTTTTCTTTTCTGAAACTTGAAGGCTAAAAGTTGGATGTAAAGGATGAAATTTTCCAACAGCATACCCAGTGTAGGATACCCAGTGTAATCCCACAAGTGGGGTCCAAGGAGGGTAGAGTGTATGCAGACCTTAATTTTACCTCGTAGAGATAGAGAGGCTATTTCCAGTCGACCCTCGGCTTAAATAAAGCATTTCCAAGCCGTTTGTAAAATGGAATTCAGAAATAAGAGTAGGAAAGATGAAATTTTCTAACATATACCCAGTGTAATTCGATAAGTGGGGTATGAGGAGGGTAGTGTAGACAGAGAGACTATTTATAGTAGACCCCAACTTAAAATAAAGCATCTCCAAGCAGTTTGAAAAATGGAATACAGAAGCGAGAGCAAGAAAGATGAAACTTTTCATGGACATATTTTAGCACTTGTTAGTCCTTTCATGCTATGTAATTGATTCTTGGGTAATTTATCAAAATTTTGAGGTTGGCATTGAAACAACTTTACTACAGAAAATTGAGTGTAGATCTCTGAAGTTTCGAAGGCATAAAAAATAAATAACATCCACTTAGAATACCAACTCATTTCCATATATACAAGTTCTTTTGGATTCATTTATCCAAAACTCGTTAAGTATAAATCTAAATTAAAATGTGGAACTTGTCAAGCTAGGATTCTGTCCTGTGCAACATTGATCAGGATGAATAGTAATACCAAACTTTGTACAAACTCTTAGATAAGAGCAATGTATATGAATATGGTCATCAGCAACCTTGTGCATTCTAGGAAATTGTACTACAAGTATACAACCTGAGAACTGATGAGTGAAAAACTATATGCTTCTAACCTTTGAGATTACGAGGATGATGTTGAAAACCGTTGTCAACAACTTTGTGGTCTGTAATATTTCGGAGGCATAGATGGGCATCTTTCATTCATATGGGGGTACAGATCCATACTATTGTATCCAGGTAGTTCCATCCGGTACTTTCCTCGAATTTGACAGAAAGGAAGCTTCACATTATCATCTGCCTTGCACCACTTCGGCAACCGGCTTGAATTGTTCTCGAAAAATTTGAGAGAGTAAGCATCTTTAATCTGCACTCCCAGCAATAAATACGTTACTTTTCGAACTCTAGAAGTTGAATCCAACATGAAACTTCCCCTGTGCTTTTCAATTAGATGAACCATCAGACCTCAGGGTCCAACAGCAAACAAGTAATGCAAGAATTGTAATTTTCTTTTTTCCGAATGATAAAAAAATGATGCAATTGTTTCACAAACATGAGCAATATTAAGATAGAGGATTGGATAACTTTCCAAGAATTGAAATACTTCTGGTTTAAAATTTGGTTCCTAACTTCCACATTTTTTGGCACCAAGATACTGAAAGGTATGCAAGAGTACAGTAAAAAAGTTCCTATTTTAGGGAAGTGGACAATGGACACAATGTTTAAACTTTAGACAACCCGAACAATACGTACACCAGTTTATTTGGAACTTAACAGAATTATAGCAAGGATTGACGAAAACATGTACTCCATCCCAATTTACGTGATGTAGTTTGAATGGATACAGAGTTAAAGAAATACAGGAAGACTTTGCAATGTACTAAAATACCCCTAAAATAAATGAATTTTTAAATAGACGAATACACTTTTGTAGACATTTTTCCAAATAAGTGGGACCCAACATGAGTAAAATAGTGTCATTAAACATTTGCCAAATAAGGAAATATGTCATTCTTTTTGAGATTGACTAAATAGGAAAGTGTCATATAAATTGGGACAAAGGGAGTATTTAGTAGGGATGTGAAGAATAATAGGAAGAACGAGTGCAAGATACCTCACTACACATACAGACATGTGAAACTCCCCACCCCCAACAAAAAGAAAACCCGCCATCCACAAAAAGGCAACCAAGAGAAAAGGAAAAGCAGTTTTAGATTCATCTAAGTTCATATCATGCAAATGCCCTGGAAACCAACTCACCGTGAATTCTGTAACCTGAATTGAGCTTGCAAGTTCACCAAATAGTCCTGCTTCCTTATACATCTCAAGAATAAAAGCAACACATGATGTCGACTTTCCATCACTATAAACCCAATCATCCTGCTCTGGAATAGCCAACAATTTGGCAAAAGAGAATCCACGCTTTTCAACTTCCACAAGAACATCAGGAAGACTAAGGTTCTGCATGGGACAATATAGATCAGCATGTAGTACTATATGTCAAGTCAGTGATAGAGGTCTACAGTAACTTAGTTTCGCTTGAGATATATGAGAGTTCACAAAGCAGAGTATATTTTCAGTATAACAATGGCTTTATGCCATCAATCTTTGTGAATACAGTATTCTAATCTTCTTTAAATAAGTTACTCAATCAGCTGCTTTAATAGTGTTTTGTCCACTGTTTTTATCTCAAAAAAACAGAATCATCTCATCAAATGTGATTATACAAAAACATAACCTTAGTTCCGAGTCGTTTGTTCAAGGCTTCATTCCACATGTTAGCAGCATATGCAGGCTGAAGTTGGTTCCAAACAGTCATGACAGAAGCAACCTGCACCAGACATCACAAAAACATCAGCAACAATTATGTAAAATAACAGGTTAATTTTTAATTAGCATGAATCTGTTTATTTTAAAAAATAAAAAATAAGAATAGGAAAGCGACAAATGGCTAAATCTCAATGGATCATGGTACCAAGTCCACTCTGCCACTTACAATTTGCAGGATACAGTAGCAGCTATTCAACATACAAAACCAAGTGCCACATGACCCACTTTATCTATAAATGCCTGTCATTTATACTTGCTTAATGCCATTATCATCTCTTCCCATCCCTCACCCTTCATCCTCGTAAATTTCTGATTCCAATTGCCTGTCTCATATCACAGAGAATAATTTCAAGCTCATTCATGACTCTACGGTGCTTCAAGTTTCTTACACCAAAACAAATACCATTTCAGCTCTCACGAGACATGAGATAATAACCGATCATCTATTCACTGCTTAAGCATCTCATGCATACTCTGTGGAGTTCTATAGAACACTTGACTCATAATAGAATGCTATAGCAGTGAAATGAAGCTCCATGAGAAGAAATTGATGATAAAATCAAGTTAAAATTCAAATGGGTATACCCTTATGGAAATCTTGATAATGTTCGATGCATGAAACCTGCGTGTGAAATGCACACATTTACCCCCACTTCATGTGCCAACAATATTATTTCATTAGCTGAGCAACTAAATATGCTGAGGTCTACGTTACCCTCTCTTACTAATTATGTTTATTTGTGAGGACATAATTCAGTACAGAACAACTCTGACTATAGTCGCAAAGCAGAGGAATCAGGAAGCAGAGGACTGTACGAAAGAAAGCAGCTTCGAAATAATGCTGTAAGCACAAAATTGGCAAGACTGTAATATGAAATAATATGCATTACCAGATTAGCATCCAAGGGTGAGGGGTAATTTCCATCGACTGTGTCTATCCAGCTAAATATTAAGTTGTGGAAACCATAAGGCATGCCTGTCATGCTTTTTGCATATTCCCAAGCAGCAGTTTCATTAAACTTGGCACGGAGGTCAGGGTGCAAAGGGAGCAATGCAATATGTGGATTGGAATCATCTTTTGTCAACTCAAATTCCCACCACTCTTCCCAAGGCAATAGAGCAATAACATCTTCTCCCTGAAAGAAAATGTGGACAATGAAATTGGTGCAAATATGGTATAGAGATTACATTATTAAGTATATGGTCATTCATGCTTAAAGTTTTTCTTATATCTTCAACCTCCCCCAAGGTGCCTGGGCCGAGTCAAATACCCAGAACTACAACACACAGACCTTCCTTTCAAGTTGTTAATGCCTTGGATATAGTGCTGTGTCTATTGCATGCCACAAGTTGCTATCAAGTTAGTTGCGCTTTAAGTTTGTGCAAATGTTGAATAAGGGTCATATTAATATGATACTCATACAACGTGATATTTTAAGCCAACATTGTAATAATCATATCCTTGTCAAAAATAAAATAAAATTGTAATAATCATACTGATATCTATAGCTGTATACGCCACAAAATGTGTCACTTGAGGCTTGCGAGACCACAATCACAAACTTGAGATGTTTTTTTCCTTAAGTTTGCTGATTTGAATATCACTCTTAGCCCTTTAATTAACTGTTCCAACGTGTATCATTTTTTATCTCTTTCTTTTTTATTCATTTGAGATAGAGCCCTTTATTCCCTAAAAGTTTGATTCGCTATCAATGCTCCTTATTACTTTGTCAAAAATCCAGAATTCCCTAAACATAAAGCTTGAAGTTTTCAAGAAACACGAACGAGAAAGTACAAAAGAGATGAGATAATATTCTCTATCTGATTCTCCTTCTAATCTTCAATTTCTTTATTGCGTAGCAGACATTGCCCTTGCTCCCCATTATAAGAAAGAGTAAACACCAAATAACAATATAATGTGAAAACAAAATAGTTTAGGACTCTACCTTATCATTCTCATTTCCAGATTCGCCAACCCATAGTTTTCCTTCGGAGTCTCTCAAGCAAACAGCAGAATGGCCAGCATAAGCTCCTGATACCCATTTCTCTAAAGTCTCAAAACCACCCCAACGACCTCTAATTTTTGATATTGCAAGAAAATCTCCAGAATGTATGTCATCAGTATTAGTAAGGTTGGTAACCCATGGCTGCGGACGTTTTTCAAATGAAGAACCCATATGTTTCTTGAGAAAACCAATATTTGAGTTCTCACCCCATCCAGTGTTCGAGAACAAAGGAAGAACATCCCATAGTGCTGAAAGGGTTCCTAACATTCCTGCTTGCATTAGGAAAATTGAGATACCTTTATGTTTGACCTGTTTCAATTTTATTCCATTAGTATCATGAATTATGCTTAAATTAGTGCCCTTCTAACTTCATTTAAGAAATGATTGGGACTCACATATTCTAACTCAGCCTGAGACTCCCACTCTTTGATTTCAAGAGTATGTTCACGAGACAATACGTAGTAGTCCCATGTTACACGATATGGGGTTGCAAAGATGTAAAGGTCCATACATGTCCAACTGTGTGCATTGCTCACCTGCAAAATATTTTAATTTGAATACACACATTGATATATAGAGAAGTAAAAGAATCCCACTGATAAAGCAATGACATTAAAATGGGAACTCTTTCCATCCAAGCACTGAAAAAGAAGGCACAAAAAGTAATATAAAGCAGATAAAATATCCAATTTATAATTTTCCTCAATAATCTATCCATATACTATGCAGAGAACAAATCATATTATTAATAACACATACGCCATACGGATTTGGCCTTCCAAAATGTTTCCATTCTCAAAAAACACCATAACATAGGTATTTCAACATATCTGAGCTACAGTTTCAACTAAATATTACCAACATACATAGTCAATGCAAAGACTGGGATTCTGTAGAAGAATAGTTCTCGTCCACAGAGTTCAGGTAAGTTTCAATGAATATTAGTCAGATACAAGTCACCTTTTAGAGTTACCCACGAAGAGAAGTAGAGCAAAGAATCAAGATTAGGTTTACTTCCACCCATTTTTCCACATCTATCTGGCTACCAATCAAGAGATTTCAAATAGCAAAGGATAATCAGGACCAGCAGCGAATCATCCAGATCAATATTCCCCGTAAATATACTCAAAAAGAAAATATACTAAGCACAATCAATGAATCAATAACTATGTCTCAATCCCAGCTAATTGTGTACAGCTATATGAATCCTCTACATCCATTCCGCTCCATCTGTATTTCAAGGCAAATTATTGATTCTCTTCTCTAAATCAAGAGGATCTCATATTTATACAAGTCTCTAACCATACTATAATTCTACTGGTAAACACCATACCTAAGTGTAACACTAACAATTAATCATAATAGAAAAATACTAAAAGAACAAGTAAAAATATTTCATTTTTCACATCCAATTTACCAAAAGAAACAAAACGAAGTACAGATCTACGGTACTATTTACGAGTTCACGTGAACCCAACAGCTTTTGCCCGAGCCCTGCATATGTAATAAGAAATCCACCAAATATCCATAAATATTTGACCATGAACCTAGTTATTACTGTATATTAACTTGAGTTCGTTAGGGAACCCATAAAATTCAAATCTTGGATCCACCTTAATCCTCAAACTCCCCAATAAAGAACCATATTGACTTATAAGCTATAACTGTCAAAAAGCTCTTCTTTGGTATAAGGTTGCACTCAATCAATAAACACATATCCAATAACTTCTACATAATACAGATACAACAAAACAATATGAAATTTCAAAAAATAGCTATAGCAAGTAGTTACTTGAACGGGGAAATCTCAGTAGCTCAATTGGTTGACTAGCTAAACTTTCACCAGGGCAAAGATTCAATTCCCCATCTTGTAATCCCCTTCCCTTACCCCTACACCTACCCCCAAATATATATTTTTTTAAAGTAAGTACTTGAATAAATAGCAAGATAGATTTGGGGAAAACCTTGATATGAAGGGTTCCTCCACCAAATTGACTATTAGATTTGTTGTGAAGCTCCAACCAAGCAATATTCTTGAAAAAGCAAGCACCTTTCCACTCCAGTGTATTATTCCCTTCAATTGAAGCAACCCCAACAAAAGTGGGCATGATATCCACTGCACTGTAAAGGGAGTTTAGTATAGGCCATGAAACTTGTCTTGGTAATAAAGGCAAAACATCTTTTGGATGAAATGGTGTTTTAAACCCATGAATCTGCCATGACAAAAACTGAAAAAGGAACAAGAAAGTGATAAAGCTGTGATTTTTCAAGATTACAGCCATGGAAGTCTTCTATGGAAGCCTTGTTTGTTCAATATCAAGAAAATTGTTGGACTCTAGAGAGCTCATAGAAAATGGATTTTTTCACCATTTACATGAAAATTTGCTTACGTGAAGATCTTTTCCAGTTTTATTTATTTCGATTTTTTTATGAGAAAATGACAAAAATGGTCGTTTGAGCATATGTACATTGAAAATACTTTTTTTGTTGATAAAGTAAAAGAGACCTTGTCTTTTAAACTGATTAATAAATTAAGACAAATAAATTGAAACGAGATTTAACAAAAATAAGCTGAAATAAAGATTTATCATAAATATCAAATAAGTTTTATCGGATTCTAAAATATGCAATATAATAAAATGTACTAATAACTTTTAGGTACTTTTTAAGTCAAAATAATTTTTAAAGCTGGTGTTTAGGTGAAATTAGAAACTTGTTTATAAATATTTATGATTTTTGACTTATAAGTTTTTTCTTTTTTGAAATCATAGAATAATTTGTAGCTGCTACAACCTTTACCACAATCCTTACCGTGACTATGTGGTGAATTTATAAGTTATAAGTAAAAAATTAATATAAATTACACATCAAAAAGCTACACTGAACTTTAAAAATTAATAAAAATAATAGAAATTACAAAAATGGTAACAAATGTAAGTTCCAAGTTCCTTTACCCGGTAGTTTTTGATAAATCTAACAGGCAAAATTAGGTAAATGTTTGACGGTACTAAAGTTACTAATAGCTTTTAGGTACTTTTAAGTCAAAATAATTTTAAAAGATGTTTGCTAGTGTTTAAGTGAAATTAAAAACATGTTTATACACATTTATGATTTTTGACTTATAAGATTTTTCTTTTTTGAAATTACAGAATAAATCATAACTGCTACAATTTTTACCACAGCCTTTACCCTTCGGGTGAACACTTTGTGGTGAACATATAAGTTATAAGCCAAAAAATAATATAAATTACACATCAAAAAGCCACACTAAACTTTAAAAATTAATAAAAATAATAGAAATTACAAAATGGTAACAAATGTAAGTTCCAAGTTCCAACTATTTTTTATCCCCATAGTTTCTGTTAAATCTAACAGACAAAATTAGCTAAATGTTTGACGGTACTAAAAATATTAACTTCTGAATAAATTTAAAGGACTGAAACTGTTCAATATATATTAAAAGAAACTATTTTAACTCTAGTCTTAAATATAAGGAACTATTTTTGTCATTTTCTTAGTGTTGATAATATTTTATTTAATTAGTTATTTATCTCAATCAATAGGATATATTTTATTGCTTTAATATAATAAATAATTTTTTATCCTGGAAAAAAGGGATTTTTTTCTTAATTTTATTTTCCTTTGTTTTAAATTTTTGTCAATTTCGTTTTCGTCTATAATACGTAATAGTGATAGAAAAGAAAATTCCTCGAATATACTAATAACAAATATTTCATCATCGTCAGTATTGATCACGTAATTTTGCATTTACGCAAGTTCAAGAAAAAAAAAAAGTTCGATACATACTAAAATTAAAATAATAATTTAAAATATGTTGTGACATTTTAATCGTCATGAGTTATGGTGAAATGGTTGAAATTTCTTCAGCCTTAAATCTTAATCAAAGTTCTTGTGTTTAAACTCTTAGGAATGAAAGAAAATATGTTAGGAGGTCCGACCCCAAAAATGAACTTGCAGTGTGTGATCCGAATTGGATCTGGCTCCCCTCCATTACCCCTTTTCTCCATTTCGTTAAGTGCACGTCTAGATTAGAGACATGCGTCATATTTAAAGTTTAAAAGTCAAGATTATATCATATGAATACATATCATAACCATAGTTAAGTCAATTAATTTTAGAAAACTATTCTTCAAATTTGGTAAGAATTACAATATATTTCATACAAAATTTGATATTTATTAACATCTTTAATTTCATCTTATATTTTTAATTTACAATTTAATATTTAAATACAAAAATATAATATGAAATTAATGATTATAACTCAAAAGTCACTCAACTATTGATATTTTACTTAGAAAGTCACTCAACTATTGATATTTCACTTAAGAAGTCACCCAATCAATTAATTTTATTTTTTTTGTTGTTGAAATCTAATTTTATTATAAGAAATAAGAAGATATCTATTTTATTTATCTTACTAATCCACTCCAATTATTTAATTATATATATATATATATATATATATATATATATATTTTGAAAAACATATTGTAGCAATAGACAAAAAAAATCATTTTCCGTTCTAGCAATTGTTTAGTAGAATTAAATAAGCTGAAAAATGATCCAAAAAAAAAGGATAACGTTGGAATTGATCAGAAGTAATTAAGAAGTAATCAAAAGAACGCACAATAACAATCTTTTATCATTTAAAAATAATTGGTTTAAAACTAAAAATTTACAATTTAATATTTAAATACAAAAATATAATATGAAATTAATGATATTAATAAATATCAAATTTTGTATAGAATATATTGTAATCCTTACCAAATTTGGAGAGTAGTTTTTTAAAATTAGTTGACTTAACTATGGTTATGATATTTGCTAATATAATATAATCTTTACCTTTAAACTTTAAATATGACACATGACTCTAATCTAGACGTGCACTTGACGAAATGGAGGGGAGCCAGATCCGAATTATAATTTAGTGTAGGGGCAAAATGACAGTTCAATTTTGCATTTTAAAGCTTCCTACTTTTTATTATACTAGTCTCTGGACACGCGCAACTCCCATGCATCAATAATTAAACACTCTTATAAAGTTAAATAAATATTATATTTTAAAATGTAATACCAACTTAACCTCAACCAATTCATCTTACTATTTGCTTCCTTTAAAAATAAGGGTGAAATTATAACATTATAATATTAGATCGATCCTACGCATGACTTTAACGCAATTAACCAAATCTTGCATGTATAATTTATAAAAAAAACCACGAAATATTGAATCAAATGAATTTGGTTCATGTAAATATAAGGTAATCAAACTTAGTCATTGTAGAACAATGTAGAAGTCATACTTGATATTTCTGACTTTATGAATTCATCTTCCTCTAAATTCTTTTAGGTGTTTCTAAATAAAGTGAAGAAACCTAACTTGCTATACACTTTATTGTTACTCTCAAATCATAAATTAATTTAGTTGGTTTATTAAAAAAAAAAAAATTCATACCAACTTCAAAAATTAAATGCAAAAAATATCGTTATTAATTTAAAAGCAAAACAATCATTTGGATAAATAAAAAATAAAATAGTTTAGAGTATTAGATAAATTTTTTTTTAAAATGTTCAATTAGTATGCATTAAGTAAAAAAGGTTTATTTTAATTCACCAAATAATTTCATAGCATTCAAATAGATTATGAAGTTGTTTTTACCTAGAACTCCATCCTAAATTTTTCTGTTTTTGTCTCTTTTCTCTTCATCTAGATTCGTGAATATAGACACCTTAACTATTGATTAGTTTAAGCAAAAACAAAATAAAATTAAAAAATAAAATCCTCTCTTGTGTCCATTTGTATTTTCAAAACATTAGTTGTGAACATAATAAGTATAATTATTAGTAATTAGTCGAGAATACCAAAATTACTCCAAGCCAAATAGCACCGAATACATTGCAAGGCAATATGTATAGTGATTTTACATTTCTACACAAAATAGTAACAAGAAATTCCAGAAAGAGAAACAATCATAAATAAAGAATTAGAATTGAAACAATCCTTTGTAATTTGAAAAATCTTAAAACAAACAATAGAGATGGAAAAAGAATGATCTTTACCATAAGAGTACGTAGAAATGCTAGTGGAAGAATTCAAGATGACAAATTTGTCTTTGATAGTGATATATATTGATTTAGTTACAACTCTTCATATTCTTTAATTCAAGATTAAAAGGGGGAAAACCTTGATCAAAATTGAATAGTTTGATCCAACAGATCTAGCTCATATTGACGACTCTAATTTTATTAAATAGTTTCATACTTTCATTTCTATCCATCAAGAGGATATATTTTATTGCTTCAACTTTTACATAATAATTTTTTATCCAGGAAAAAAATGATTTTTTTCTTAATTATTTTCCTTTGTTTTTAATTTTTTGTCAATTTACGTTTTCGTCTATATTACCTAATAGTGATAGGAAAGAAAGTTCCTCGAATATACTTGTAACAAATATTTCATCATCATCAAAATTGATTACGTAATTTTGCTTTTACGCAAGTTCAAGAAAAAAAAAAATGTTCGATACATGCCAAAAATAAAATGATAATAAAAAAGAACTTAATAATTTAAAATATGTTGTGACATTTTAATCGCCATGAGTTATGGTGAAATGGTTGAAATTTCTTCACCCTTAATCAAAGTTCTCGTGTTTAAACCCTTAGGAATGAAAAAGAATATATTAGAAGGTCCGACCCCAAAAATGAACTTGCAGTGTGTGATCCGAATTTAGTTAGGTTTCAATATAACTGTAAAAAATCAAGTGGGAAATCATAACTCTGGATTAAACCGAGTTTCAATATGGATAATGAACGTCGAATAGAAAATCATAACTTTGAATTGAGTATTGCTCTAATATGACTAACAAACACTAAGTGAAAAATCATAACTCGGTAAATAGATGAATTTTCTAAAGTAGATATTGAACATCAAATAGAAAATTATAACTTGAAATA